TTGTCCCTGATATAAAAGAACAAAACAATGTCATTAATCTTGACTTGTTTTATATGTGGGATAGTACCTGTCACGAGAGGGGTAATAAATGGACTCTTTTGTGAGCACTCATTTGATGGAACCCTATGGTTATGGAGACTGAAGGACATATTTTATTGCCTATGTATTGGTTCTGGGCCATACAGAAAGGTCACCATAGGAATATCCTATTTGCCAATTTAGATTTGCCTCTGTTAGAGGGAATCAGAATGATAGGTGGAATGATGGGAAAAAACCAAACCCCAAACCAAAACCAAGACAAACCAAAACAAAACATTTCAGTGCTAGAAATGCATTTGAAATAAACCATTTGACAATAGTGATGGGGCCTTTATTGAAACATGATTTCTGTATTTCAGATAAATAGCTGAGTAAAAAGATTGTGTTTCTACTTTTAGAAAGGAAATAAAACCAGTGAAAAGGAGAGAGAAACACTATAGTAAAGCCCTAAATCACATAAAGGTCTATATGTGGGTTTTAGATAAAATTCTCAACATTTATAGTACAGTTGATCCTTGAACAATGCAAGGATTCAGGGCACTGACACTCCGTGTCCCTGCACAGCTGAATATCAGTGTATAACTTTTTTTTTTTTTTTTAATGAGGGTATTTAAAAAAAAAGTAATGTTTATTTATTTTTGAAGCAGAGAGAGACAGAGCATGAATGGGGGAGGGTCAGAGGGAGAGGGAGACACAGAATCGGAAGCAGGCTCCAGGCTCTGAGCTGTCAGCACAAAGCCCGATGTGGGGCTCGAACTCACAGACTGTGAGATCATGACCTGAGCCAAAGTTGGAAGCTCAATGGACTGAGTCACCCAGGTGCCCCGAATGAGGGTATTTTTTTTTTTTTAAATTTAAGTTTATCTATTTTGAGAGAGAGAGAGAGAGAGAGAGAGAGGGAGAGAGAGAGAGAGAGAGAGAGAGTGAGAGTACAGGAAGGGCACAGAGAGAGAGGGAGAGAAATAATCCCAAGCAGGCTCTGCACTGTCAGCGTGCAGCCCAATGTGGGGCTTGAACTCACATACCATAAGATCATGACCTGAGCTGTAACCAAAAGTCAGATGTTTAACTGACTGAGCCACCCAGGCACCCTCAGCATATAACTTTGCCCCCAAGTAGCCTACTGTTGATGGGAAGTCTTACCAATAACATACACAGTCAATTAACATGTTTGTATTATATGTATATATATAGTATATTCTGTTCTTACAATAAAGTAAGCCAGAGAAAAGAAGATGTTATTAAGAAAATTGTAAGGAAGAGAAAATACTTTTATAGTGCTGTACTGAAAAAAATCCACATATAAGTGAACCTACATAGTTCAAACCTGTTTTTCAAGGGCCAGCTGTAGTCTTTTGTAGATGAATAGTAATGTTTTATATAGCTGCTTGAAAACATGGGTAGACTAACTCTAGGGCACTCAAAACATAAGTTGTTTTCCCACTTCAAATTGCTTATAATTTCCTGATGACTAGAAAATGTTTCAGTACTATACACAAAGTGATTAGTATGTATTAGTGTTTTTAGCAGTATGGTCAATGTTGGATAATGTAATTTGTACTCAAATGCTTCTGGAATTATTAGATTTTTCATAATTGGTTACTTTGAGACTTCCAGCCTAATTGTCTTTGTTTTTAACATCAAACTTTGTTGAAGATATGTAAAAGAATTGTAAGAATTAGAAGTATATTTGATTATAAGCAGAGTTGAAATTCATTATCTTGACTATGTACAAATTTCTATGTTAAGTCACTGGGGACAACTGTTGGTATTATTTTCAAGAATACTTTAAATATCCATTTTTATAGTAATAGAATCATGGAGTGTAATCATGTAGCATAGCATCTGAAGTGCAGTAATTCTTCTAGCTTTTATAGTATTTGCTTCTATTAAAAAATTATGTTATTAATCTAAGAATTAGAGTTAATCAAGGCAAGAGTTAATGAAGATGATTTTTTAGTTACAGGATGGTTTCGTGTGTATGTGTCTCTGCATGTGTATCAGGTATACAGTGTGGAATGGCCTTGGTGAAGCACTGATCTTCTTTTTTAAATTTAAATTTTAGTTAACATACAGTGCAATATTGGTTTCAGGAGTAGAATTCAGTGATCACCACGTACATCATGTACCCAGTGTTTATCACAATACCCAAAACACCCACCCACATACATACACCCACTTACATTTACCCAACGCTCATCACAGTACCCACCCACAACAACCAATGCTCATCACAAGTGCCCTCCTTAATACCTATCACCCATTTAGCCCATCTCCTACCTACCTTCTTCCATCAAGCCTCAGTTTGTTCTCTGTTGTTAAGAGCCTCTGGTGGTTTGTTTCCCTCTCTCCTCTTTTCCCCTCCTCCTTCCCATATGTTCATCTGTTTTGTTTCTTAAATTACACATGAGTGGAATCATATGGTATTTATCTTTCTCTAACTTATTTCATTTAGCATAATACATTCTAGCTCCATCCATGTTGTTGCAAATGGCAAGATTTCATTCTTTTTGACAGCTGAGTAATATTCTATTTTATATACATATGTCTATGTATATATAATGGCATATATCATAACATATTCAAATTAACAAATTGTCCATAAAGACTATTATGCAAATCACTAAGCCCACAAATTAGTATTAAATTGTTCACAGTCAAGTATTTACTGAAGGTCCAAAGAAATAAACAGTAAGAAATGTACGTGTGTGTGTGTGTGTGTGTGTGTGTGTGTGTATACACAGTCTGAAATATATATACATACATACTACCTCTTCTTTATCCATTCATCAGTTGGTAGACATTTGGGTTCTCTCCATAGTTTGGCCATTGCTGATAAGAAGCACTGATCTTTTCACCTACATATACACATGGAGATCATGATTATCTTTGGAATAAATACAGTAACACATTTATGGATCTAGGGGAAGGATCCAGTAGAGTGGGAGAGGTTGATGAGCAAGGAGATGCTGATTTTATGGAGGTAAGCCAATGGGAGTTGTAAAGGTCTAGGAGGAGAATGGGAATAGACTATTAGGGGAAGCAGTTGGGGGGACATGGGCCCTACCCTGGGGGTTGGAGGCAAGGGTGTTGGAAAAAGAACATTCCTCTCTCCTAAAATCACTGAGATTTAAAGGACTGTTGAAACAATTGATTCTGGATGAGAAAGACACCATGAAAATGTGTACTTGTTCCTTCCTCCCTCCCCCTTTCCTTCCCTCCCTTCTTTCCTCCATCACTCCCTCCTTCCCATTTGCCTCTCTTTTTTCTCCCTTCCTCCCTCTATCCTTCTTTCCCTCCTTCCTTGCATCCTTCTTTCCTTCCTTCCCTCAGTTATCTGTACTTCCATTGTCCATTCATAGAACTCATTTGTCAATTAAAAAGAAAACAATTATCTACCTTTATATCTAAAATCATAAACTAAACTAAATGTATAGTAGTCCCCTTTTATTCATGGGGAATATGTTCCAAGACCCCCAGTGGATGCCTGAAATCCTAGATGGTACCAAACTCTGTGTATACTATGTTTTTTTTACTATATATATGTACTTGTGATGAAGTTTAGGCACAGTAAGAGATTAATAACAATAATAAAATAGAAAAATTATGACAATATAGTATAATAAAAGTTATGCGATATAGTTTATCTCTTTTCCTCAAAATATCTTATTGTGCTCAGTCTTCATCTTCTTGTGAGATGGTAAAATTAGCCTATTTGATTAGATGAAGTGAGTTAAATGACCTAGGCATTGTGACGCAGTGTTAGGCTTCTATTCATTTTCTGGTGATATGTCAGAAGGAGGATCATCTGTTTCTGGACTGGACCATGATTGACTGTGGGTAACTGAAGCCACAAAAAGTAAAACTGTAGATAAGGAGGGAGTACTATTGTACTTCCTAATTATTTTTGTTTTAGTTTCCTTGAGTGCCATAGGGAATATCTGGATATTTTCTGGGGGCAGAATCTAATATTTTCTTAGCCTGCAAATATAGGAAACTATAGAAGAAAATGGGTAAGAGCTAAGTGGGAATGTTTTTTCACTGATAGTAACACATGTTTCTGTGGACTATAATTTTTTTTTGAGACTAAGTTACATACAGGTGATACATGTTTCTTACTGTTTATTTCTGTGGACCTTCAGTAAATACTTGACTATGAATAAGTTGATACCAATTTGTAAGCTTAATGATTTAGGTAATAGTCTTTATAGCCAATTTGTTGACTTGAATATGTTATGATACATGCCATTTATGGTCTTCTGATATATATGTGTGTTCTTATGCAAAAATCTCACTGATTTCTGAGATTAATGTCAATGCCTTAAAGATGGCTTATAATTTTTTTCTTATTTTGTCTTGCCCAAGTATCAATCTCTTCTCTTTTTATGTATAACCATGCCAATTTAAATTAGTTTATTTTCTGTACAGGAAAGTAAATTGCCCCCAACTTTCTTTTCCAATCAAACCCTCAAACAGTTCCCCAGATAGAGATGTGTCATATGTCTTCCAAAGTTCTATTTGCCTCCTCATCTGAGTCATCATTAGCAAGAACAAGCAAAATATGAGTGCTGGCTGCCTCAGTGCTATGATTTCACGGAAGTCAAAGCACTTGCATGCTGTAAAATATGTCTCACCAATTTGGCCATTCTTTTTTCCTTAAGATTCCTGGCCAAATGTAAACTCACCCTGGGTTATTATTTTAGTCATGAACATATACTAACATAGATTAATTCATTGGAAGATCTAATTCTAGACCACATGACCTCCAAGAACAGATGGGGAATATCTCATTTCTCTGTTGGTGAACTTGGCACCCTGGTCATCTGAGAGCTATGGCCGATATCAGAAAGAGGTGCTGAATACAGATCTCATGTACTCTATGGTTTTCATTAGTGCTTCCCCTTTAGAAAGTATTTTTCTTTATTAATAAGTGTCTTTTTTTGCTTTTGTGCACAGGCAGCATGTCAGCTGAAACACCAATCACACTGAATATTGATCCTCAGGATCTGCAGGTCCAAACATTCACTGTAGAGAAGCTACTGGAACCTCTCATAATCCAGGTATTAAGACCATGGGAATAACAATGTGTAACTGAAGAAGACCTAAAAACATGGGAAAAGTAGATCATGAACCAAGAAAAGAGTTGATTTTCATAGAATGAGTATGTCATCTCAAATTGTCCTTTAAAGTGCTGTTAAAATATAAAAAATTATATATTTAGTAATAATAAGAAATTTATGAAAGTTACCCCCTCCAGATTCTCTTTTAAAAGCAACAGCCATAAAAATATGTATATACAGCTTTCAAAGTATCTTTATATAAATACTCTTGTTTTATAGTCATGAAAACTGAGTGAGGTAGGCAGCATGTTAAAACCATCTTTATTATATAGATGAGGAAGTTGAGCCTAGAGACTTTCAATGACTTGTCCCAAGGCACATAGTGGCTCACTTGTCAAGTAGGAAATTATTTTTAAAATACCAAACTGTATGAGAAAAGCAACTATTTAAGAAATTCTGTGATAAAGTCTTTCATAAAGTCAATAATCTTTTCATAATATACATCATGATTCTCTGACTTATTATGTAAGTCCAGATTTTATTTATTGGAGTTCTTAAAGCAGAACTTGAAAAAACTTATACAATGCTATAGACTTAAATTTTTTGTCCTTAACCCAAAATTTGTGAGGGAACTTCTCTTTAGGCTTATCACACATTATACCTTCTAAGACAAATTATCTCTTTTTCTTTTTTATTCAAGTATAATTCATATACAGTATTTTATTAGTTTCAGGTATACAATATGATTCAACAATTCTATACATTTCTCAGTACTCATCATGATAAGTTTACTCCTAATTTTATTCATCTATTTTACCCATTCCCCTATGTCCCCTCTGGCAAACACCAGTTCTCTGAATTCAAGTGCCTATTTTTGTTGTTGTTGTTGTTGCTGTTGTTTTTTTTTTTTTCTTTCTTTCTTTCTTTTTTTTTTGTTCGTTTCTTAAATTTCACATATACATGAAATCATGTGGTATTTTCTTTTTTTTTTTCTTGACATATATCACTTAGCATTATACCCTCTAGGTCCATTCATGTTGTTGCAAAATGGCAAGATTTTATTCTTTTTTAGATGACTAATATTCCAGTGTATATATAACACATCTTTATCCATTCATCCATTGATGGACACTTGGGCTGTTTCCATAATTTGGCTATTGCAGATAATGCTGCAGTAAACATAGGAGTGCATATATATATTTTTGAATTACTGTTCTTATATTTTTTGTGTAAATACCCAGTAGTGGAATTACTATATTATATGGTGACCCTATTTTTAATTTTTTGAGGAGCCTCCAATCTGTTTTCCACAGTGGTTGCTGCAGGTTTTATTCCCACCAAAAATGCACGAGGGTCCCTTTTTCTTTATGTTCTCTCCAATACTTGTTTTATGTGTTTTTGATTTTAGCCATTCTGACAGGTGTAGGGTGATATCTCATTGCAGTTTTAATTTGCATTTCCCTGATGATGAGTGATGTTGAGGATCTTTTCAAGTGTCTGTTATCTATATGTCTTCTTTGGAAAAATGTCTCTTCAGGTCCTCTACTCATTTTATAATTGGATTATTGCTTTTTTTTTTTTGGTGTGTGTTGGGTTATAGAAGTTCTTTATATATTTTAAATGTTTATTTATTTATTTTGTGGGGGGAATCGTGTGTGTCCATGAGTGGGAGAGGGGCAGAGAGAGAGGGAGGGAGAAACTCCCAAGCAGGCTCTGTGCTGTCAGTGCAGAGCCCAGCAAAAGGATCAGTCTCACGAACCGAACCGTGGGATCATCACCTGAGCTGACAGCAAGAGTTGGACACTTAACCGACTGAACCACCCAGGCGCCGCTCTTTATGCATTTTAGATAGTAACCCTTTATTGGATATATAATTTGCAAATATCTTCTCCAGTTCACTAGGTTGCCTTTTTGTTTTGTGGACGTTTTCCTTTGCTGTGCAAAAGCCTTTTATTTTGGTATAGTCCCAACAGTTTAATTTTGCTTTTGTTTCCTTTGCCTAGGAGACATATCTAGAAAATGTTTCTACAGACAGTGTAAAAGAAATTACTACCTGTGGTGTTTTTTGTTTTTTTGTTTTGTTTTGTTTTGTTTTTAGGAATTTTAAGGTTTTAGGCTTTACATTTAGGTCTTTCATCCATTTTGAGTTTATTTTTGTGTGTGGTGTAAGAAAGTGGTTTATTTTCATTCTTTTGTATGTAGCTGTCAAGTTTTCTCAGAACCATTGGTTGAAGAGACTGTCTTTTCCCTATTGTTGACCATGAATAAGTGTGGGTTTATTACTGGACTCTACTCTGTTCAGTTGATCTAGGTGTCTGTTTTTGTGCCAGAACCATACTGTTTTGACTGCTGCAGCTTTGTAGTGTGTCTTGAAATCTGGGATTGTGATACCTTTAGTTTTGTTCTTTTTCAAGATTTCTTGGGCTTTGGGGTCTTTTGTGGTTCTATACAAATTTTAGGATTATTCTACTTCTGTGAAACATGTTGGGTTTTGATAGCCATTACATTAAGTCTGAAGATTATTTTAGGTAGTATTGGCATTTTAACAATATTGAATCATTCAGTCCATGAGCATGGAATATCTTTCCATTTGTTTGGGTCATCTTGAATTTCTTTCATCAGTGTTTTCTAATTTTTGGAGTAGAGGTCTTTCACCTCCTTGTTTAAGTTCATTCCTAAGTATTTTTTTCTTTTTTGGTGTAATTGTAAATGGGATTGTTAAATCATCCCTTTTTTAGGGCTTTGAAGCACTCAAAAGTTACTTGAGTGAGAAACTGCATTGATTTTACCTCTGATACTTTATTTATTATTTGGAGAGAGAGAGAGAGGGAGAGAGACAGAGTGAGCAGGGGAGGGGCAGAGAGAGAGAGGGAGAGAGAATCCCAAGTGGGCTCCATGCTGTCAGCGTAGAGCTGGACGCAGGGCTTGATCTCACAAACTGTGACATTATGACCTGAGTCAAAAACATGAGCCTGATGCTTAAATGCCTGAGCCACTCAGGCACCCCACCTCTGTTACTTTAAAAATGTTCTGCTTTTCTTCTTTGTGGGGTAGATGGTGAGGAGGGGAGTAACTCAGAATAGACTGTGCATGATTTTACTTAGCACACCCATAGAAGATATCTGCTACTGGAAACACAAAACATATGCTTTACTGATGAAAACTTAATCATGAACGTTGGCATTCTTAACAGCACTGATACCTGGTGTGAAATTGATACTTGATGAGTATGTAGACTTCATTAAAATCCCTATTTTAGCCACCTACTGAATTCTCTCATGTTAAAAAGAAACAAAAAAGCTTATTTATTGTTTTTCTGGTAAAGTTCACTGAAAAAAGTAGAAAAGCAAAACAAAATAAAGCAAAACCAAAACCAAAAATATGAGAATAAAAATCACTCAATTATTACAACCAAGAGGTAAACAATGTTTTGCTGTATTTACTTGCAATATACTAAAATTATGGATTTTTATTATTCTTAGAGTTTTATAATATTAAAGAACATATATGTTATATATAATTTATATCTCATATATATGAAGAATATATGTAAACAAGGTGGAAATAATACTGTATATGTAAGGTTTTATTTCACTTTCCTATTTAAAGTGATATTTTGATAATTTCCCCATTCTTTGTAAGCATGATTTCATAAAATTGTGGTTTAATTATATTGCTGCACCATAGTTTTCTTTAAGTTTATTTATTTATTTTGAGAGAGAGTGCTAGAGCATGAGCTGAGGAGGGGAAAGAAAAAGGGAGAGAGTGAGTTCCAAGTGGGCTTTGCACTTCCGGTGCGGAGCCTGATGTGGAGCTTAAACTCATGAACTGTGAGATTGTGACCTGAGTCAAGATCAAGAGTCAGACACTCAACTGACTTAGCCACCCAGGCACCCCTGCACCATAGTTTTTTAAAGCAGCCTCACTTTCTTACACCATTCACAAAAATAAACTCAAAATGGATAAAGGACCTGAATGTGAGACTGGAAACCATCAAAACCCTAGAGGAGAAAGCAGGAAAAGACCTCTCTGACCTCAGCCACAGCAATTTCTTACTTGACACATCCCCAAAGGCAAGG